AGAGAGAGAGAGAGAGAGAGAGAGAGAGAGAGAGAGAGAGAGAGAGAGAGAGAGAGAGAGAGCCTGACACAGAGAGAGATTTGAAGCACCCAAATTGTTGGTGAGCACAAAAAAAAAAAAAACATCAGACAATAGACTCAAGAAGGATTCTGCTTTACCACCATTTTCTGGTGTACAGTTTCAAAATTCGCACACAGCATACACAGCACCCTGGCCACATGTTCGCCACAACTGGAAAGACAAAAGTGCAAAGGGCATATCCACCCCATCTCTAGACCTTGATAGCATTATTCAATTCCTTGCACTCTCCAGGGACCGTCGTGTGCTCCCAAGAGGTAGGAAAAGAGTCAACAGGGTTGGGTTTATCTAATCGCAACGTCCAGTAATTAATGGACATTTTCCACAATGATCTTCTTATTTAGTTATTATTTTGGGAAGAAAATCTGAATTGGACGTAGGCAGCCCAAACAGATAGCTTCCGTGATGGAGACGCATTCCTCCCTTTCGCTTACCCTCTGCATCTTCTTCCGTTCATTTCGTTACCTCATACAGCATCTCCCCTCTCATCAGATTATCCTCTTGGTCCCCGATTCTCGGACTCCGGAACCTCTTCGCCTCCACTTCCTCCCTCCCCCGCTCCTCTAGGCATGACACCTTTCTACATCCCCTTCTCCACCTTGCTTACCCAACACAATAATGTCAGCATGCAAGAAATAATCCGAACACAAACTGACAGCGATTCTCCTCAAATCAATGAAACCGCGAAAAAAGATCGGTCATCCGAAAGCGAGTTCACTCCCAGAACACCAACCATCCGGCATCTTATTCTTGTGAAACTGTCGACAATAAATGAATCATCCCGTAGCACGATTACCAGCTCCCTTCTGCCTTCGCATCAGGCAGCTTCAAGCTTACAGACATCTTCAGCTAATTCGAACAACAATGGAAAAAAAAAACCGGAGGAAGTGGACGAGATAAACAGGTGTGAAATCATGACAGCACCTCCTGTGCCACAGCTCCGAGACAAAAGACTCACTGGCCCCGCGCATGAGATCAGAAAGACGCTGTTTGTTTCTCTTGGTGCGCCTCATTCTCCCTACACGCCCCGTGTAGCTGCAGCAAATCCCTGATAGAATAGCGCTACATACGTAGGATCAATCACATCGACCACGAGAAGAAGAAGAAGAAGAAGACCCCACAAGGCACGATCGATTACTAGCACCTGCAAAGGCATCACCAAACTTGCTTGTGGTAATTCAGGACAAAGCACTGGAGACGGCCGATGAATTGCAGTGTATGGAGAAACCAGCCTCACGAGTAGCATCAAAATCACAAATTTGTGATCTACACAGAAAACCCACACGTAAGACCTACCTCACCACCTTTGAGGCAGTCGATACCACCTACTGTACCCCTACCGACAAACAGTCAGAATGGCCTGTCCCCACCACCTCGAATTAGTGAATACTTCAGAGGCAGTTTCAGTTCAAACGAACGAAAAACGGAAAACAAAAAAAAAGACCGGAAGTAAAGTTCAAAAGAGAAAGGGAATGGCTGCAACAGCCTTAAGAAGAAGAGATTACGACATGAGCAGTTTAGTGGTGGATACTAAATAATAGAACTAAGTGGGCCCCGCCGAAACATCCCTCCATTTCAGCATATTGGCCCCAGTCTTTGAACTTCCAGGCCACAGAAACAATACTCAACCTGTCGTAAACCCAGGGTCCTAGCCAATCAGTCTATTGTCAGGGTCCTAGCCAATCAGTCTATTGTCAGGGTCCTAGCCAATCAGTCTAGGTGACAATAGAAGTCCCAAGCTCTGCTTTCAGAGTCCAGAAGGCCTCTCCTTATGATTGTGATCAAATGCACAGAATGCACGCGGTGCAGTCAAGCCATGTACAGAAACATACATACACCGATCGTCCAAGGAAATATGGCAGCATCACACAGGCAGCCTTGCGCGACCAGATCTCGTCATGGTCGCATCTTCACAAACCTCCATCGGCACCACATTTCCGAAGCAGGACACCGTCTTATGTGTGGCCATATTCTGACCGAAGAATTAAGCAAAGATTGAGACCCCCCCGAATGGGCAAGCTGACGGCCTAGACTAAGGCCAAAAAGAGAGGTCTAATCATCTCCGCATTTCACAAGTCTCCATCTGCACCGCTTTTGCAAAGTAGAGACCATCTTCCATTTGCTCATTCATGACCCAAGAATTATGCAAAGGTAAGCTCAGTGCCTAGACAAAGACAAAGAGGGAAAGAGGAAGGGCAGGAGCAAAGGAGGGGAGGGGAGGGGAGGGGAGGGGGAGGTAGACAGACGTAGATAATGTGAGCAAGAGGAGTTCAATGCCTTCAAGCACGTGCTGGAAGACACCCTCACCTTCTCTCTTGTCCTCCCATGGGCGCCTCTCGAACCTGCTCTGCCCCTCTCCCTATTTCCTCCTGCCATGTGCTCTCCCCACCCCATTTTCACCTTACGTACGGATCTTTAGCAGATTCAGGGCAAGAAGGGGGAAACACAACAATCGGACAAAAGTCGACAGCAGTCAAGCAGCATGGAGCAACTAGGAGTGAGAGAGAGAGAGAAGACAGGAGTCCAGCACCATCAAGCACAGTGCTTCCAGGAAGCCTCAGCTTTGCTCCTCTCCTCTCCCTTCCCTCCCAGCACAAGATCAATGGCAGTCACAGCAGCGACAGGCTCACGGGAAGAAGAATCCGTTTCTCTCTCCCTCCCATTGCCCGTCACTCCTCCGACGTCCTTCTGCATCTGGCCACCGTTTGCAACAACACTAACAGTACTCAAATGGAAGACCGGAGGGATGTACCACAGCAGACGAGCAGGTACCGTCCATCAACAGTCTCTCTCCTCCCATCTCCTGTCGCTCGCTTGCCCGTGTTAAGTCCTGCGATGAGAGAGAAGAGGGAAGGAGTATCAACCCAGGAAGGAGAAAGCCACCATATACAGGGCCTGCTAGCATGTCTGGCCTTCTTTCTTCTGCTCTCTTCTCCTCCCCTCCATTACCCATCAACTTCCCTCATCCAACTTTCATAGCTTCCGACGACGACGTCACCTGGCCATGAGCACGGAATCCGGAGGGCTGGGAGGCTCACTACCGGTAGTATCTGTGGCATTGGTGTAGTCATGGTATTGGCTGTCATAATTGACACACATCATGGGCGCCGGGGGCGTGTCAAGAACAACACTTAGGGACGTGTCCTGCAGCATCAGGGAGTCTTCTAATCCACGCCGCACGTCCGTCATCGACGGCCGCGTGTCCCGATCCTCGCCGAGGCAACGCAGAGCTACTTCGGCGAGCTTGTAGAGAGAAGCGGTGCCATACGTGTTCACCAATTTGGGGTCTACGATCTGTTCGACTTTCCCAGCCGACAAGTACGGCACGGCCCAATCCGCAAGGTTCACCTGCTCCTTGGGAAGGTGCTGGCTGATCGGCGACCGAGCAGTGATGACCTCCAGCAACACGACACCAAAGCTGTAAACATCGGACTTCTCAGTCAGTTGCTGACTCTTGAAGTACGCCGGGTCCAGGTATCCAAAGCTTCCTTTGACCGCTGTGCTGACGTGCGTCTCATTAAAACCACTCGGTCCGGACTTCGACAGACCGAAATCTGCCACCTTGGCGACGTACTTGTCGTCCAGCAGTATGTTTGTAGACTTGACATCTCTGTGAATGACCATCTCCTGCACGCCGGAGTGAAGGTAGTCCAGTCCACGAGCGGACCCAATGCAGATCTCCAGGCGTTTGCGCCAGCTCAGCGGGGAGTACTCCGTGCCACAGGTCTTTCCGTACAAGTGCCCCCGCAGAGTTCCCAGAGCCATGAACTCGTAGACCAGGATCATTTCCCCTTCGTCGTCGCAGTAACCCACCAGGCTGACGAGATGGCGGTGCCGCAGCTTCGAGAGGGTGACGATTTCGGTCTGGAACTCTGTGACTCCTTGCTTGGACTCCGGACTGCCTCTCTTGATTGCAACCACATCTCCGTCCTCCAGCACCCCCTTGTACACGTTCCCGAAGCCACCCGTTCCAATCACCCTGGTGTGGTCGAAGTCGTCCGTCGCCTTTCTCAGCTCTTGGAGCGTGAATCGTTGGCCCACCTTCTTGTCGCTATCTGGCATCCGCTTGCCGTGTCCGCGGCGTCCTCCTCCTTTCCTAGCAGCCACTTTAGTCGTGTAATCGGAGTCCGAGTAGTCGGAGCCCAGCAAGGAGTCGTTTTCCCTCCTCCTCCTCCTCATCATCACTAAGAAGGCCGTCAGAAGTATCAACAGGGCGGCACCAACAACCGTTATCGCCACCGCGGTACCCGTCGGGGTGCCTTTCTTCTCTCGGCTGCTGCCCTCTGCCGAGCAGTACTTGAGATCACGAGTGCTCGCTCTGTCGACAGAGGAAGGCGCGCAAAGGCTGTTGTTCCCGCCAACGGAGAGGAAGGTCGTCAAGGTGGCGCTCTTCAACAAGACTTCGGGAACCTCCCCGGAGAGAGAATTGAACTGCACCGCAAGGCTCTCTAGCTGTCGTAGGCTCGCAAACGAGGCCGGAATGGAGCCCGTCAGCTGGTTGTTGTCCAGGGCTAAGTTCTGCAGAAAAGACAGGTTGCCAAAGCTATTAGGGATCGATCCGGTAAATCGTTGCTTGCTCAAGACGACGGACGTGAGCGTGGTGAGCTGCCCTAGCTCGGGCGGAATTTCCCCCCCAAGTCCCCCCGCGGAAGAGGAGACGTACGACAGGTCGATCTCGGTGACGATCCCCGGTCCCGCGCAGCGCACACCGGTCCAGCCTGTGCAGGGATCAGAATTTCCAGCCATCCACTGAGGAAGCAGAGCAGCGTTCCCCTCAAACTCGGTGAACTTGCGCAGAGTCTGAGCGGCGGCTTCCATGGAGTAAGGCGGACGAGCGACAACCTGCGTTGTCCCGTCGGGCGCCTGCACGATGCGCAGATCGTTGCCGGCAGAAGACGACAAGTCGCTCTGCCCGAGCTTGAACACTTCCAGACCGTTGATCTGTGGGTTGCGCTTCAGCGACTGGGGGTTGGCTTTGATGCTTACGAAAAGTGTGTCCGATGCGGACGACGATTGATCGACCACGAAATCTCGCCACGTGGCATTCAAAGCGCCCACCTCCTTGACGGAATCGAACCCATCCTCCCTCACAACCCCATTGATCATCAGCTCCATCACTCGGACTCCCACGACCTTGTACCTGAGGTCGGCAAAATACATGCGAACGAAATACGTCGCATTGGCCTCGGCGGGGATCTTGTAGTCTACGGAAAAGGACTGAGGGTTCTCCCCGCCGAAAACCCTCTCGCTCTCCATCACGTCGGCAGGAACGTAGGCAGGAGCCACATTACAGCCGGCCACGACAGCGGGAGCTTGTACTAGGTTAGTTGCCGCCTTCGTGCCCGGGGGATCGGGCAGCCATGTACGAAACAACCGATCGCTTCCTGGACTCACCCTTGTGGAGCCGCAATTCCATCGAATCACGGTGACGAAAGAGAGCGATTGAAGAAGCTTAGCGCCGTAAAGACCAGGAGGCATGTAAACGTGCTCGATTGCATTGATGAACGCGTAAGAGGGAGAGGGGGGGGGGGATGAGCTACCTCTAGCCTCGACAATCTGAGGAGAGGGAGAGGGAGAGGAAGAGGAAGAGGAAGAGACTGGCACGAACACAACGTTCATCACACCACCAGGTTGGCAGACGAGAGAGAACTCCTTCACGACTGCTGTGTTGACTGCGCCGCCTTCTTCGAGAAGCGGCGACCAGTTCCTCAACAAGGTGACGGAGTCTGCAAGAACTGAGAAGTACGCTCTGGCAGGATCGAAGGTCGTGCCGTCGACTGTGAAAGGGAAGGCATTGAAATGGAGACGGAGGAAATAACGACTCGCTTCCTCACAAGCAAGAGAATAGGTAGGGTTACCTTGTGCTCCTGCTGCTGTGCCCTCCTGCCCTACAGAGGATGGCGCGGGTCCAGGGAAGACTCTTGCACTCTGATAAATCAAAAGGTTCTCAGTCCCGTTGACATCAGTTTCACTGGACGTTCCGACAAGCGAGGGACTGGAGCCGTTGTAATTGTCCTCGGACCAAGTTCGCTGGAAAACGTCCGTGTGAGAAATACCTCCTCCGCAGTTGATAAGGATCTGAGGGCCAAAAGCAGGGCCAGCGGGAGCAGCAGAGGAGGAGACGATCAAGGCCACGGTCTCGGATAACAGGAGGAGGAGATGGAGAGAGAGAGAGCAGCAGCCCCTCACCCCCCCTCCCGAAGCCATTTCTAACAGGAAACAAAACGACCACCCCACCAAGTAAGGCCCCCTCGTGGACAGCAGCAAACAACGATAGACAACAGAGCCACAAGCAGACAAAGTTTCGCCCCCCAGAAAAAGACAGGAACAAATCTGAAACCGCGCTGAAGCTTCCTCACTCGGACCTGCTTCTCTCTCTCTCTCTCTCTCTCTCTCTCTCTCTCTCTCTACACAGCACCGTTCGATCAAAAAGAAACGCAGCAACCGCGATAAAAGGACTAGATGGCCCGTTGCAACTTCGATGGCAAGAAAATAGGTTGGAATACCACCGAACCTTTTTTCTTTCTTTGACTGCGATCACTTTCTTTGGGAAGCCGTCATCTTCTCAGCTTCGTCTTTCGTTTTAAGCTGAGTGAAACGACTAGAGGTGCAGGCCGAGAACAACTTTTCTGAGAAAATGCTGTCCCGTTAATCTGTTTGTTCAAGATTCCGATTCGAAGTCTGTTAGCTGTCTTCTCTGAACATGTATGCCATGAGTTTACATGCTGAGTTTTTTTTGACTGTGTGTGTGTGTGTGTGTGTGTGTGTGCAAGTGCATGTGCGTTAGTGAGTCTCAGCTCGGTGGGCCGCGATGGTGTGATTGAGAATTGGCAGGGGGCAGTTGTTCCCCAAGTCCATTTCAATCATAAGAGTGCCACTGGCGTTAAGCAGGCCTTGTAATGCATGAATGACGTAATCAGCATTCACTCTGCATCCCAGTTGCTATTCGCCTGTGGAAGTTGTCGGAAGTGTTCTCATACGACTCGCAATGCTGGGCTTGCACCGTGGAGCATTTCCTGGAAGGCAAAAGCCACAAAAGAAACCAAGCAACACGTGTCAGAGTCACTTCGTACACAGTATGGCAATCCACAGTATGGCAATCTCTCTCTCTCTCTCTCTCTTTTTCCACCTTCGCCTCTTCCCTCCCTCCTTACTCCACCCAACATCTGCCTTCCCTCCTCCCTCGCTCTGCGCTTCCTCCGGCCGACTTCTCGCTGCCGCTTTTCGCCTTACTCCCGGCCTCCTCTCGACCACCTCCCCCTCTTCAACCTTCCTCCGCCTGACCGCCTGCCTCCCTTCCTTCCTTCGCCCGATCTCCGCCTTACCTCCTCCCTCCCTCGATCTCATTCCTCCTCCCGATCTCCGCCTCCACCTGACCTCCCTTCCAAAACGTCCTCCCCTCCTTTCCTCCGCCCGCCTCCACCTGACCACTTCGCTCCATTACTCCCTCTACCCGACCTGCCGCCTCCTCCCTTCCTTCCTTCCGACTGACATCCCTTCCTTCGTGACGCCCGACCTAAGAAGTGCATTTCGTTCCGTTTCTCTTTTTCTGATGGGGACGTAAACGCTGCATTTCTTTTCAAGATCCAAATGAGGGTGCACGCGCGCAAGAACGAGACAGGGAGATGGATAGAGAGAGAGACACACACACACACACACACACACACACACACACACACATTTAACATAACACTCTTTGCCTGCACATCCTCCTCAAGCTCTTTCTTCCCCTTCACGCTCTTCCTTCCCCGCACCTTGTCCTTCGTCCGTCTCCTCCACCACCCAAAATCCGTCTTCTGCCGCCTCAAACTCTTCCTCCCCAAGATTCTCCTCTCGCTCTCGGGAGGCGGCCTTAAGATTAATCATCGAACTGACCCGCACCAGGTATTTCAAGCGATCTATATTTCTTCCCACAGTTCAAGCTCTTCTTCCCCCATCCCCTACACTGGCCACATCGGCTCTCTCTCTCTCTCTCTCTGTGTCTCTGTGTGTTGGGGGGGGGGGGGGGGGACAGGCTCGCCCTAATTCAGATGGAAAAATCAAATGTGGTATCTACGTAAATTGGGAAAACAACGAAAAACGTAATGCACTCTCTGGGTCGGGCACAAAGAAGAGGGAGGAGGGAGGGAGGGAAGGAGGGCAGGAGAGAGGGGGGAGGGCCGAGGGAGTGAGGGAGGGAAGGAGGGAGAAGGAAAGGAGGGAAGGGAGGAAGGACGGTGGGCCCGGGGGGACGGAAGAGCGGGGCCGAGGGAGAAGGGCCGAGTTAGGAATGGAGGGAGGGGGGAGGGATTACGATTGTGATCCCGGTGCGTCTCTCTCTCTCTCTCGCGCGCGCGCGGAACTCGAAAGGAATGCGGCGTTTATATCGATTGCGTGAAAAGAGAAAGATGAAATGCACTCTTTAGGTCGGGCGCGAAGAAGGGAGAAAGGACCGAGGAAGGAGGAAGGGATCGGAGGAAGGAAGGAGGACCGAGGGAGGAGGGAGGTCCATGGGAGGAAGGAGGGAGAATCGAGGAGGGAGAATCGAGGAGGGAGAATCGAGGAGGGAGAATCGAGGGGGGAGAATCGAGGAGGGAGGGCCATGGGAGGATGGATAGAGGGAGGAGAGGGTCGAGGAGGAAGAGCCAAGGGAGGGGGGGGGGAGGAGGTCAGGCGGAGCTCGAGCGGATGGAGGGCGGCGGAGCGGAGGAGGTGGTCAGGCGGAGGGAAGAAGGAGAGAACGGAGGAAAGGAGGAGGTCAAAGAAATGGAGACTTACTTGAGTCAGCCATGCCGACAAAGCGTCCAGCCGAGACCGATCAACCAACAACGCTCAAGCCTTCGGCAATGCTTTAGCCCACAACCGTCCAAGTTCTACAAATCCAGCCGTCCAAATTCTACGAATGTAGACAATGCCTCAAGCCCACGTTGCATCACGTACCACGTAGGACAGTTCACGTCCCACGAAGCTCAAGATAGGACCAAGCTCAAGATAGCACAACCGCAAGATAGCACCCTCAAGATAGCACCAAGCTGAAGATAGCACCAACCTCAAGATAGCACCAAGCTCAAGATAGCACCAAGCTCAAGAAGCACGTAGCACCAAGCTCATTCAGTTTGCTCAGATTTATGTCGCCAGCACCAATGCACGTAGCACCAAGCTCATTCAGTTTGCTCAGATATATGTCGCCAGCACAAATGCACGTAGGACGTACCACGACGCCAGCGCCAATCCACGAGGCGCGCAGTACGTAGCTAGTACCACGTAGGAGGTACGCGTCGCACGTATAATATAGCACCAATTCACGAAGCACCAAGTTCACGAAAGCACGCCGTACGAATTTCACGAAGCACGGTGCACACAGAAGCAACAGAGAGAGAGAGAGGGAGAGAGAGAGAGGGAGAGAGAGAGCGCCGAGAAAGAGAGCTCCAATCACCAGCACCACCGCACGAAGCACCTAGCACGGTAGGCCTCGTCGGCAGAGCAGCATGGAATGTCACGGGGAGAGAGAGAGACAGACAGACAGACAGACAGACAGAGTCGAGCGCGGTGCAGCCGGTGCACTACAGCCCGCGGGCCGTGCACTCCGCCGTGTACGGCGAACGCTGTGACGGACAAACTCCGCCGTGCGCCGTGTACGGCGAACGCTGTGACGGACAAACTCCGCCGTCTATGGCGAAAGCGGTGCCGTACCCGGAAGTCGCCTGAGATCTGGGCCGTTGGGCCCGAAGTACCGGGCCGACGGCCTGGATTCAGGCGCGATCTTGGAATCTTGACTGTGGTCTTCTCCTGAGTTACGGCGAGTCCCAGGTGCGCACCCTCTCTCCGCCCGTGAGTCCCATGTGCGCACCCTCTGTCCCACCGTGAGTCCCAGGTGCGCACCCTGTTCGCAAACGGTGTTCTTCTATACTCTTTCTCCTCGTTCCGCTAGCGTACACCTACGTGGTCTGTCCCTGCGAGCCCGCCGGCTGCATGTGCAGCACGCTGCATTTTCCAAAATCTGCGGAGGAGGAGAGACCTCGTCCAAGAAACGATGGCAAGGATGGCCAGGAACACGGGAAAGAGAGAAGAGGCGGAGAAGCCGAGGAAGGAACCACGGGCCAAGTTGAGGCACACTCCTCCCCCCGCGAGAACGGACAAAGAGCCTTGACACTCGTGCGTTGGCCCCCAGACGGGGGCCAAGAAGTCTGGGAGGCCTTGCCACGTACCAAACTGCTCTACTGCTACACACACAAAGCCTCTCTCCGCGAAGAAGAAACCGATCAACCCTCTGCTACGAGCACACGGCTTTCTCTCCTCACCCTATATACTCTACCACGCATCTGCCCTCACGTGGCGTCAAATGCTCTATGTCCAGCCAGCCACCGCCAAGGAGATCTCCCACGCCAAACGCCTGTCACAGGAGACGATGCCCTTGTCAAAAGCCAATCAACCAATCAATCAATTAGCACAAGCCTTCTGACCCGTATCGACTCCCACGTGCAAGACGTCGCGAAATGCCGAGGCCATTTCTGCCATTTGAACAAGCCGCCGCCAAAAAGATCTCCCACGCCAAACGCCTTACACAGCTGAGAGACCATGCGCTTGTCAACAGCGAATCAATCAAGCAAGCAAGCAAGCAAGCAATCAAGCAATTAATCAATCAATCAATCAATCAATTAATCAATCAATTAATCAATCACTCAGAGTCGATAAAAATCTCCTCAAAACAGAAGGCGTATTCCGCCGCCTTCGGCATAGAGGGAAATATACACACACATTGAGAGAGCAGCGCCTTCACATCTACGTGCAAAGAGGTTGGAGGCAGCAATCTCCTCAAAAGAGAAGCCAGATTCTGCCGCCTTCGGCATAGACGGAAATATACATACACATTGAGAGAGCAGCGCTTCACATCTACCTGCAAAGAGGTTGGAGGCAGCCAAAAAACAAAGGAACAAAGGCCAACTTCAGCTCTACAACAGGTCAAAATACATATTTACATACAAGTAAAGCCACAGGGTAGATTTAAAAAAGAAAAAAAAAGCCACAGGCTAAATGCGGCTTTACCGAGCAGGAGAACTGGCATGAGGACGAGCTTTACTGAGGGTTTGTTTCCCCGAGAAGAACTTTTTTCGGGGGGCTTTTTTTTCCATCCGTAGATTGACATGCTAATCTTCTCTGTATCGCTCCAGTTTTAACGGTTTTCCCTAAGGACCATGCCATCCTGCCGCACTACTCACCAAACGTGTACAATGAAGAATGTATCTGCTTTATAAAAACATACATAGTGTTTTTTTTTTGTTTTTCTTTCTAGTTTTTGGTTTTTCACAATGTGCATTATTTTTTGGGAAAAGAGGGCGACGGCCTCGAGATATCATCATCGAGCTGACCGGCCCCGAGTAATGAATTCAGAACTATGTTATTCTGTTCATCTGATCGCATCTGGACTCAAGCTGGGATCTGTACCAATCCGACCTAGGCCCGTCGGTTTTTTTCACAACTTGTAAGCGGTGCGGCGAGGCGCAGAAGCAAGCAAAATTACTTGCTACTCTCCTGTTACGACTGCAGTCAGCAGCTATTTTACGGGATTAATTTAGACAGAAACGCGGCCAAGTGCATTCAAAATACTCGCTAGTCCCTTTTCACGAGTGCGCCGTGAGTGACCACCGTGTGGCTCATGGCCGACAGTGAGGACAGGGTTTCATTTCTCTCTCTCTCTCTCTCTCTCTCTCTCTCTCTCTCTCTCTCTCTCTTTCTCTCTCTCTCTCTCTCTCTCTCTCTCTCT